CAACTCTAGAGGGGGCATGCGGTAGGGTGATCTCGTTGGAGGCTTCACTCCTAGCTCTAGCTCGATGTGGTGATTCATGCCTTTGTATGGCAGTAGAGTCTTAGGTAACTCAGGTGGCATGACATTCATGAACTCCTTCAGGACGTTTGCCACCATAACAGGTTCATGAATGGCCTTCTCGTCGAGTGGCTCTAGCTTCATAGCAGCCACGAATGTTAGTTCGTCTTTTTATATCCCTTTCTTTAGTTATAATACCAATATATATTGGGGTTCCCTGGTTCCTTTCCGAGAGACAGGAACCACACAGGGGTCGTTGCCTCCCATCATGCATAGGGAGTTCAAGAATGGCATTGGCACTAACTTCGTCACATGCATGAATTCCATTCCAAGAATCACTTGGAAGTCATCCAATAACACCGCCATTATGTTTGTGCTCCCACTCCATATTTCGATCTTGATGGGAACTCCCTTTGCCAATCCGGAGATTCGCTCGGCCTCCGAGTTCACCACCTTCATTCGACTTGGGCTCTTCTTCATGATCAGCCCAAGTCACTTTGCTTCTCGATCGATAATGAAGTTGTCGGTAGTGCTCGTGTCCACCATTACATAGGTCATTATGTCTACGTGCATCAGCTCGCCACTTCTTGCTTTTTGTAGTCTTGTCTTCGTGTTCTCCCCCACTTGACCCCGCATGGCGTTCAACAAATGCATTGCTCCCATTCGGGGTCCTTGCGACTCCTCATCATCACTGTTGGATTCAGAACTACTCGAACTAAAAGCAATAGTTTTGCCCTTGTCCAATCAGGGGGGATAGATGGAAGCTGTTAAAGTATTTAATGCTTATTTTTGTGGGCACTCTGTCACCATGTGCGGCCCTCCGCACAAGAAGCATCTGCCAGGTTTCGGTGCCTTGCCTTTCGGGTTTGGCCCTTTGTGGGAACTCTTCTTCCTTTGTTCTCCCTTGAGAATATTTTGGAAGGTGATTGCCTGAAGATTATTTCCTTTTTCTCGAGTCTTTTGAGAAAACAAAGTCGATGAGCCTTTCTGCGACAGTAATTGCCTGATCACATCGGTGACATTCCTTCAATGTAGTTCTTGTTAAGCCCATGGCTTCAAACCATCGAGGAAGCTGAATAGCTTATCCTTCTCGGACATGTCCTATATGTCTAGTATTAGCACAGAAAATTACTTCACGTGGTCTTGAATGGAAGTATTTTGGTAGAGTTGTCTCAACTTCCTTCTTGCGATGAACTCTATGTTCTCCGGTAGGAACTGAGTTCTCAACTCCCACTTCAAGTCCTCCCATGTGTCAACTTGACACTGACCTTGTTAGATCTCCTCCCAATGGGTTCACCACAAAACTTTTGCATCTCCGTTCAGATACATGGTTGCTATAGAAACTTTGGATTCTTTAGAATCAGGCCTCGTAGCTTGAAAGTATTGTTTCATATTGAACAGGAAATTCTCAAGCTCTTTGGCATCTCAGGCACCTCCATAATAATGCGGCTCGGGTGCTCTCAAGTTTTGTGCCGGTGCAACACAGATGTTGCTTCCTCCTGCATTCAATGCCCTCGTAAGCATGGTCACCCTGAAAGTGAGTTCCACCACGACATCCTGCAGGTGTAGCATGGAGTCTTTGGTTTCATCTGACAATTGGTCATCCGCCATGACTTATTGCGAGCTCTCTACCCCAACAAGCTTTTTTTGGCCATGGTAGAGTTCCTCAAAGCTCGCTTCAAGAACATCCAAGCAGGTTTTCGCTACTGTGAGTCTCTCCTTATGGATCTTCCTCCCGATTGGCGCTCCCGATTGCGCCTCCTCCGCTCGCAGAGAGTAGCCAATTTCTCGCTCGTCATGTTCGCTGCCTTGCTCCACTTGAGTGGCTCCAACGACATGAGAGCAAGTATGCACTTGCAGCCCACCTGCGGATGCTTGGGGCAAGGGTCAAGCTTGCCTCATCTTGCTTGATTCACCATGGTGCTTTGTCATGGTGAAAATACGAAGTTCCTTTGCTGCTTGCTTAAATTGCTTGCCCGCTCTGATACTACAATGTTACAGACTTAGCTGGAATTGCCTAAGTCGTGAGGCACCCTTGCGGCAAAGACGCGAACTTAGCTTATGTTGCCTAAGTCGTGCCTCGCCCTTGTGATATGTGTCCGCAAAGGTCAGCCCACTTATAATCTCTCTCAGGTCCCAAAGAACCTGTAAAAGAGAAAGTTGATTAGTTCGAAGAACGAGCAACGGATAAGTCTTGATGTCTCGCGAAAAGGGGAAGCTTTACAAGCAATTCAGCGAGAACCTTATGTGCACAAGAGAAAAGAGGGAGAGGAGGAAAACAAGGCCTTTAGAAGTTTGAACTAATAGTTGCAAGTCCATAAACAGTTGCTCACCGGGTGCCGAGCGTGACAACAAGTTCCTGTCAAGATAACGCGTGAACTTACGAAAGATTGTTCAACACCCGATACTATACCGAAGCCCCATCTACTATGATGCCACCCGGGTGGCTTCAGGGTGCTGAGATGGCTGACGTTTCGTGTGCAATAATAGGCTGTAGAAAACAGCCTGTGGCACGCGAAAACAGAGCTGTTTTCGACTATTTTACTCGGTTCGGTGAGCGATCGCACTGTAATACTGTAACTTATTCGAACTTACATTTTTACAAGCAAAAGGATATAAAACCAAGTCAAAACATATTGCCACACAGTTGTACATGTAAATACAAACGACGAACGGTTCGTTGAACAAAGTTGTTGCGGGTGCGCGATGATCGTTCATGGTACAACGACATAGAATTATAGTGAATGGATTTAAGGGAAATATGGAATAACCATGATGTGAGTTATAAGGGCGCATGTTTCACTTAAAATTAGATGAATAAATACTAAAGTTATATATTTTAACGACTAATTTTGCCAAACTTTATTGAAAATAACATAAAATTATAAAGATAAATTTGAGCCAAAATGGATTAAGATCGAAGTTTAAAGAGTCCCAAGTGCAAAATTAGAAAAAAAAAATGAACAAATATAAAAACAAAATTATGTGATTTCTCGAAAAGGTCTAAGTGTTGGATTTTTCTCTTATAACACCCCTCATCTCCAACCGCTATAATGTTTATGAATGTGGTTATATTATTTTTGGTTCAATCAAATTTATTGTAATATTTTTAAATAGGTTTATATTTTTTTTTTTAGTGAACTGTTTATAACACAGTCTTAATTAATTTAAATTCTCATAAACATTAATTATTAACTTTATTATGCTTATTAAAGTTTAATGAAATATTTTAGAATTTCAAATGTGTATTCTTATTGGTCTTGGAACAAAAATATGAAAAAAAAAAAAAAAAAACTTGTCTTCTATGCTATTAATAGTGTTTTTTTATAGGGCTATAATGTTTTTCATGCACATATATAAAAACATTATAAACATATATAAAAAAACACTGTAAACCTTAACAAAACACTATAACAGAAGAATAACGGCTCAAATTGTTGTACAAACTAACTTTATCATCATTAGTGGGCGTCAAATAGTAATTCCTAATGGCTTAGAAATAAATAAATATATATATATATATATAAACAATTTTTTAATAGGATTAGTGTTTTTCACACGTCTATAAAGAAATAATAAAGTTATAAAAACAATATTGTAACTGATCTTTGTTCACCCTATGCACTACTAACCAGTAGAGCTTATAGATTCGTACAGTTCAAAGGGAAAGAAAAGAGATGTAAATATTGAAGAAAAATAAAAAGAGTGGCATCTTCCGGAGAGGAAACTCAAGACGAGGGATTCTTTTTCCTGAATTCGATCGATTTCGTTTATGTTTCCTTTTTGTGGTGGAATTAATATCCCCATATTAGAGCAGATCCAAACCCATGATTTCAGATCAAAAAGGGAAATGCTTCGGGAATTTTTTAGAGGCTACATAAAATAAATAAAAAATAAAAATTCAAATTTCCAACTTCTTGAAATTTATTATTATTATTACTATTATTATTATTTTAATAAAGATGGCTTAAATCACAATATTCATTCCGTTCTCAAGTTACCCCAGAAATCAAAGTTAATATATATTTGCTCTCCAATTTTCTTCAAATATTTAGAACTTACATATATTTCACGTATCTAAATTTTA